TCATATGACCTGTACCTAGTGTTCTGTATAGAACACTAGCTTGAAATAGGCTTAAGAACTCCGGAGCTGAATTGCATCACAGGCTAAAGGTGAGTAGTATCCGTCAATCTGATAGGCGATGGGCATCCCATCCACACACAGTTCTGTGAAACAACGAGGTTGACCAAATCGGGACATCTTACAATTTGCCGGAAGCTGAGGAACTCAACCCTAAGACAGCTACTATAACACTTCCTAGACAGTCTGGATTTGTAAGCATATAACTCAGAATGAAGAAGGTAAGACAAACATTTGGAGTTTGATATACAACTTACCTCAGTATATTCATTTTGTACGGGGGTATATATATATGATTTGATAATTACCAGTCCGGATTTAAAATCATATGTACAACACGTAAGGGCAGTGTTGAAGCGGCCAAGCGAAAAAGGATCAGACATTCATTTAAGCAGGTTTTGGATTTCAAACTTCAGGATTTCTCAGACACATAATGAGCCCAGGATGGATTGCAACGATCGGAAATGTGGACACCGTGAAGCAATACCCCATACCAAGTTCTTCAACATAACGTAAGAGTTTTCTAGATTTAGATAACTTACCGTTGACTCATACCTAGTTGAATACAATCAATACAGTTTATGAAAAATTCCCTTCAGAAAAATCCAAAAGTTTTAACGTTGACTTCTGACACTTGACGTCAGTAATCAGCTAAAAAATAAACCGGCTCAACTGTCTATGTTTACGTACCCGAAATGCAGTTCCACAATCGTCCTGATGGTAGATGCTTCGGCAAAGCAGTAGGTGATATCCTCAACAAAATAGTTGAAAACGCCTGACAACTGAGCACGTTCTTCACAAAGAGACTCGCCCGGGAAGAGGCTGGATACTCCACCCATAGTCAAGAACATCTCGAGATCCATCTGGCTCGGTGGTCGGGCTTGCCTACCGTGATCACCCAACCGAGCTATATTGGCTGGAGCATATGTTCCTGTAACCTCTACCATGTCAGGCGGGTCGATTGGAGAACGGCAAGACTAAAAGCAGCAACCCAAGGTCTGAGGGTGAAGTCCTACTGCTGGCTGTAGAGGGGTGTGACGGCAGTAAAGCGTTCCCCTCGGACAACCAGCATGAGAGAGATGCCACCTTCTCACAAGGAAGGAAGGGGTTAGAAAAGGGTGACCCTGAAAATGTCACACCTCACCTCTCACGAAAAGCCCGTGCGCGACCGGCCTCAAGCAATTGTCCTTTGGGCTCTGCAGTCACGCTTCCAGGTCGTTAAGACTAACACTACTCCGACCTCCTTTTCAGGTTCCTCAGGAATTACCCTTCCACGGTGTGGGCAGCCGGGAAGTGATATTAGCCGTCATAACCTTAACAGCATGCGAGACCAAGTTGGTCAAGATCAAATCTTTCCCACACCTCCTAATAACTCCCTTATCTCCTCGACTAACCCTTCTCTCGTTCCTTTATCACCTCTCACCGCTAGGGCAAACGACTCAAGTACGCGGAACGTTATTCCTGGTCTCCTGAAACCATGCTCTAAAGTACACGTAGGAACTTTTAACGTCCGAACATTATGCCAAATAAAATAACAGGCTTCCTTAGCTAGGACTTTAGAATATCGTGCCAAAGAAAAGATAATGGTGACCGTCTGTTGCAGCTATGCTCAGATAACCGCCTCTTTCTTGCAAACACTAACATTAAGCACGAGGTAAAAAATATTTTGACATGACGACCCCCGAATTCGTCCCAACGTTGGACCCAAATAGATCACATCGCTGTCAGCCACCGATGGAGGGGCTCGATAGAAGACTGTCGCTCATTCTGGAGCACATGCTTTGGCTCAGATCATGTTCTAGTGCGAGCGCGTATTTGTCTACGTCTTATTAGACGTAGGAAACCCCTTAGGGTCCTACTTAATGATAGTCAAGCCAAGAGTATATTTGAGGAACAACTAGAAAAACAGTTGTGCAGCCATGTATGTGATGCCCACCCCGAGGCAGCGTGCAATGACACCGAAAAGCTGAGGAAACGGCAGTGACGTCTTCAAGTACGGTAAACCACAAGGTTAGGGAGAAACACTGGATCTCAACAGCATCTACCGCACTGATAGGTGCTCGAAAACTCATCCCATCTGGCTCTGAACATGAAAAATAGAGGAGTCAGCTTAAACGCAAGCTGATAAGAAACCTATGCAATGATCGTGAACAGTGGTGGGTAGCGAAAGCAAGAGAGATGGAAAAGACAGCGGCAATAGGTAACAGCAGACAACTGTTCAGACGTGTTAAGGAAACCGACTGTTAGCGAAACAATCTCAGAGAAAGATGGACATATTATACATTCTCAATCCAGGAGATTGGATCGATGGGCAGAACACTTTAGGGATCAGTTCAACTGGCCTTCAGCCACACATCGGATCCTACGATCTCCAGTCAACCTGAATGGCAAGTTAATGTAGGTCCTCCGTCTCTTTACGCAGTTGAAAAAGCCATAGGAAATCTGAAGCAAGGGAGAGCAGCAGGCCCTGACAGGTTTACTCCTGAGATTTTTAAGGATGGTGGTTCAGTAGTAGCAGTGAGATTAACTGAGGTCTTAGGTAGAATTTGGGAACTGGACGTAATCCCATCTGACTGGTCTCAATCACTGATTGTGCCAGTCTATAAGAAAGGACAAAGGTCCTCTTGTGACAATCACAGAGGAATCAGTTTGACTAATATAGTGTCTAAAATATTAGCTTCAATAATACTTCGACGCCTAACTAAAGCTCGTGAAGAGCAGACTAGAGAAAATCAGGCTGGTTTTCGACTTGGATGTAGTTGTATAGACCAGATATACACACTACGTCAGGTCCTAGAAAATAGACACACATTCAGACGTCCCACAATGGTAGCATTTCTCGACCTTAGGGCGGCATTTGAATCTGTTGATCGTAAGGTTCTATGGCAGTGTTTGTCATTGAGAGAAGTACCAAAGAAGTACATTAACCTTACAAAGGCTCTCTACTCGAACACAACAGGTCGAGTGAGAGTTTATGGTGAACTGTCATCAGAATTGATTACCTGAAGTGGTATTTGTCAGGGCTGTCCACTCTCTCCATTCTTGTTTAACTTTGTCGTCGACATACTTTTAGAGATAACACTTTCCTCGTCTAGATTTCTAGGGGTTGAACTTCTACCGGGAGGTTCACTTGTTGACTTAGAATATGCTGATGACATAGTTTTATTTGGTGAAGACGCTGACAAAATGCAGAGTCTTCTGACCACTCTAAGCAACAATGCAAGCATGTTCGGGATGCGATTCTCCCCCTCGAAATGTAAAATGTTGCTTCAGGATTGGGTTGCATCGACTCCCGAACTAGTGATAGGGAATGAAGTAGTTGAGCGTGTCGACTGTTTCACTTATCTTGGAAGTTTCATCAGCCCTTGTGTTCTGGTGTGTGACAAAATCTTAGCACGGATACAGAAGGCTCGACTAGATTTTACCAACTTGCGTCATTTATGGCGTAGGCGAGCTATCTGTCTATCAATCAAAGGACGTGTTTGCTGTGCAGCAGTTCGTTTCATCCTACTTTATGGCAGTAAAACATGGCCAGTAAGAGTAGAGGACATTCGTAGGTTACTAGTATTCGATCATAGGTGTCTTCGAATCACTGCTCGTATATCTTGGGACCACCGAGTAAGTAATGAAGTTGTTAGGAAACAGGTACTAGGTAAGGATGGCAAATCAATTGATGAAGTAGTGAAACTTCATCAGTTGAGATGGCTGGGACATATGTTATGTATCCCAACCATCGACTGCCTCGACGTGCGATGTTTTCTGGTGTAGGATTAGGTTGGGAGAAAGCTAGGGGTGGCCAGACCGTGAGATGATAGCAACCGATGGTTAGAGACCTTGAATGACATGGGTCAAAATCGTTTGCAATGGCGCAGGTGCATCCACTCTTTGGGTTCTCTCAAATTCTAACCTTTTGAATCCTTCATGTCTCTTTCTCTTCTCTTTCCAAATTTACTTCACTGAGTTATACTCCTTGAATAACATCTCCAAACCCTAATCTTCCAGATTACTGCTTACACTCTTATTACCTCTACCACTACGGGATTTGAATCGACAACTTCATCTCTGTGCTAATGTGGTATGGCAACTCGAACTGATGTACCTATGTACGAAGTTCCACGTTGTTACTGAGTAATTATTGTATTTTCATTACCCTAATACATTTTATCGTCTTATTCAAAGAGCGTCCGATAATCATCACTGTTCTGACAACTTGTAATTCATTTTTGCTAGGACGTCGAAACCGTGCACTGTTCGTTACATACATTTTAATATATAGAAAATTGGGAATCGAGCTGCACTACGCAATGATGGACTAGTCCCATTTATATCTGATCATAATCACCAACCACAGCTCCATATACTTCATTCTGCGAGGCTTCCATAATGATAGCAGCACTTGACCTTTTATATTCAACTTCTAAGCTCATGTGTTATAAACAACAAATTTGCGAAGTAATTCAGGAGTAATTTTATCCAAGCTACACTCCCTCATTACATAATGCCTGAAGCCTAATTATGAATACTAGGCAAGAATAGAAAACCAACTTCTGCAATGACAGTAGAATGATATTGATATCAGCGGTCCAACATATCTAAACAGGTAGTAAGAAAGCTGGTGTACTGCGAAACTAGGGTGTTCAGCATATCTTAAAATAGTAGTCCATAAAATAATACGAAACTATTGAAATGATAGCGTAGTAAACACCTTTGAGGTTATTGGTGTGAGTAGTGCATAAATAGAAACACGTCATCAACGGTCATAATTGATAGTAAGACGTTCAAAGATTTCAAGGTATCACAGAGGTTAAAACAACGATGGTTTTAGCAAATTAAGAAAGGTATTTATTCAATATATCTTATACAAAGAAACAACAATAATATACATTCGGAATTCGCATTATAATAGCGCCATCTTCCATTACTCAAGGTTTCCACAGTTTTACTAAACCATCTTCTGAATAAGTAGCAATAAGGTTTTGATGAGGGTGATGTGCACAACCTATCACTTCCTTTTCATGAACCTATAGAAGAAGAATACATAATATTAATTGTCCATTTAAACTAACAATAAGTAAACACTATGGCTCAAAATATTCTTCATAAATTGTTTCCTACAGACGACCAGGAACGGTAAAGATGCTACTTTTTGACAATAGAATGGGTAAGAAAAAGTTAACTGTAGGAATGCTACACCCTAAATTACCCTAAAGATTTCAGTCTCCAACTATAAGGCATAAAATGCACAGAGTTAACTCATCTGAAACTTACTAGAAAAATTCTAGGTCCAACCGGCTTCTAGAGATTATACTAGGGGTTCTGTTGTCACGCTCTGACACCATTAAGACCACTATGACTCTTTACCTTCTCTAGTTCCCCAGGAAGAAGTATCCTTCCAACGCGAAGCGATAAATGTCCTTATACCTCTAACAACATAAGAGATCACTCTGTTCATGAACAATCCCCAACTGCAACACCAAATTTTGTTTGTTCTTGTTACAAAATACCATCCAAGGCCTCCTGAGAAGGAATATCGAACTACATAATAATGCTTTTAATGTTCGGAAGGTGTGTTAAATTAGACAACAGGCATCACAATCTAAGACCGTACAACGTCGTAAAATCGATGTATGATAGACAAACATATCATATAGCCATCAGCTATCATTGTAATGGATCGACAGAGTACTGTAACTACCACTGGAGTACCTTTCTAAACTCTAATTATGTTTTATCTCAGTGAGAGCACGCAGTCTGATGAGCTTTACTTCTGAAGGAAAACATCTCCAATACATCAACTCAGATGAAAAAGTCAAAAGAGTGAAGACAGGGACAAATTAATCGGGCATATAGTTTATCCTAGAGAAATAACTCACACTGAAGCACATAATGATATCCGAATACAGTTTGGTTTCAGATAGGACGGCTGATGTACTGACCAAAAACTCAACCTTCATTAGGTTTTAGAACATAGGCATAATTATCAAACCTAGATTATAGTGGTATATTTCGATCTGAAGCTTTTATTTTACTCAATTGACCAGGTAATTCTGTGGCAATATATATGTCAGTTAGAGGACTACCAAAAAAGTACATTAATATTGTGAAGGATTCCATCTTAGAAGCTATTGTAAGATTCATCGCTTACAAGAAACAGTCGACCTAAAGTGATATTTGTCCAGAGTACATAGAATCTGGATTTTTATTCAAATTTGTTGTTGATGTAACTCTCTAGAGATAATATTTTCCTCATTTGAATATTCTGAAGTTCATTTCCTATAAAGAAGTTTGCTTGCCGACTTAGATACTTATATGATATAATCCTATTTGATGAGAACTCGAACAAAATGAAATCTAATGTTTAACTTAAACAGCAATTTCAGCATGTTCTGAATCCGTTTCACTACCTCAAAATACAAAATGCCACTCCATAACTTTCTGTGTCAATGATTGAACACGTGAAAAGGAATGAAATGTTCAAGGGCAACGATCAACTGATTCAATTAAGTAGTTTTATCAAGCCTGATTAGTTGGTGTCTAACAAAATATCGGCATAGATTAAGCGTATGAGTAGGTTGGAAAGAAGCTAGGAACAATCATACTAAGATATATAGTCAGTTCATGAAGCAAGTCATTGACTATTAAACTTCATCATGTAGGCAGGTACATACTACCTGGTTAGAGTCCAAGCAATAACAGTCATCAATGGCTAGGGACTTTAGATGACATGATTCAGAATGATCTTCAATGGCACAGACCCACTCACTGTTTATCTTCCTCTCGGCTGTGAATTCCAATATCCCTTCGTACAGACCTTTTCACTCTATTTTTTCCAATTCTATACATATAATGCATCATCATATAAACTTACTCGCATTGTTCGCTCTAATTTACCACCAGCAGCAACATTGAAACAATATAACAAATGATCTTCAGCTACACAATATATCCATTCACCTCTACCACTAAGTGTACAATCCAGAAAATCACCACCTTCTCGTTTACCACTAGAAAAACTTCGAACAATCTAATGATCGAGAAGAAAAAATTCAAGTAAGACATTTATGAAAGGATAATAATCATAAATCTAATTATCATATGGAGAGAAATGAAAAGAAAAGGTTATTGGTTGTTTGGATATCCATGTTTCTCTCGAATTATTTCAATAATGTTATGTAACATATTTGTAATTATACATAACACTAACTAGTATTGTAGTGAACGAGAACACACACAGAACATCTTAGTAAAATCTGAGAAACATATAGTGAGTTACAAAATGTCAGTCAGTCAGTAACTACGTGGAACTTCGTACATACGTACATCAATTCGAGTTGCCATACCACATTAGCACAGAGATGCAGTTGTCGATTCAAATCCCACAGTGGTAGAGGTAGTAAGAGTGTAAGCAGTAATCGGAAACATTAGGGTTTGAAGATGTTATTCAAGGAGTATAACTCAGTGAAGTAAATTTGGAAAGAGAACGGGATATGAAGAATTCAGAAGATTAGAATTTGGGAGAACACAAAGAATGGATGCACCTGCGCCATTGCAAACGATTTTGAGCCATGTCATTCAGGGTCTCTAACCATCGGTTGATATAATCTCGCGGTCCACAACCAGGTAGTCTACACCTACCAATATGACTCAGTCCACTTGTCGGTGACTTCATGGATTTGTGCCATGTTTTGGTCTGACCGTCCATAGCTTTCTTCCAACCTAATCCTACACCAGAAAACATCTCACGTCGAGGCAGTCGATGGTTGGGCATACGTAACACATGTCCCAGCCATCTCAACTTATGAAGTTTCACTACTTCATCAATTGATTTGCCATCCTTACCTAGTACCCATTTCCTAACAACTGCGTTACTTACTCGATGGTCCCAGGATATACGAGCAATGATCGAATACTAGTAACCTACGAATGTCCTCTACTCTTACCGGCCATGTTTTACTGCCATAAAGTAGGACGGAACGAACTGCTGCGCAGTAAACACGTCTCAGATTTCAGTGTTCTTTCAATTCCACACCAATCATTCTCCTTTCTTCGATTTTCTTAACCTTCCGTCACCAGGTATTTCACTTTCAATTGGTGTTTACATACTACTTATATCAATCGAAATCAATAGTGCATGCCGCAATGTGACTTGATCTGAACATTTCCAATGTTTTTAAAAAGTTGAATGAATAATATTGGACAATTTGTTTAATACAAATATGAAACCGATTACCAATGGTCAATCTACTTTCTATCCCATATGTTGATTAGACTCCTGATAGAGTATCATTAGATGATTATCATCATTACTGATTGTCTATTTTTACAGTTAGTGTAATTATAAATATACGAATTACACTACTAGACTATACATGATGCTTGAGATTCAGGAAATCAACTTTCTAAGGCTAAGTTAGAATGTGATCAAATACCGATTATTGCTATATGGTTACAGTTTTAATGTGACGACTATTCGGTTGAGCAAATAGAAACTTTATCTAATTCCATATGAATAGATCAAGAACACTTTTCTCCCCTACATCGAAAGGTATAGTTTAAAGTTGAGTAGATATATACACATACCTCTCGTTGTTTACTGAGTTATATATGTTCAAACTGAAAAAATATGATGAGTTCACATATACAGCACAATGATCAAATTTTTTGATTGAGATCATGAACCGATTGATGTGAGACTACCGTTGGAAACCTGGAAGCACCGGACGGCCGTTTCGTCCTATTGTTAGACTCCTCAGCGGCGCGCATCCACGGTCCCGCTCGCTGGATTCGAACCCAGGGCCTTCGGTCTCGCGCGCGAACGCTTAACCTATTGGACCAATGGGTTCGAATCCCGTGAGCGGGATCGGTTCATGATCTCAATCAAAAACTTAATAATCTCCACAATCACTATACAATGATTAAAATATGATTATTTACATCACAGAACATAGTATGCAAGTAGTTTCTACGTTCAATAAAGTTGTATAATAAGAACTTTCGTCTAAATTTGATCGAACAGTTTCATAGTATTTGGGGGCACCGAGTTCATATGAGATATTAAAGAGGAAGAATGTTGTATTTGTAAAATCCCAGCAAATAAATATGAAGTAAATCGAACATTTCGTTTAACAATCTAGTTCTATTGGGACTCGAGAAACATAATAAATGGTAACTTTGGGATCATTTTATGGCCCAATACTAAACGTATATTTTTATTGTATAATGATTATGTTAGGTAGTCGGAAAAATAGACCAATAATTATGATGTTAAGTCCAATGGTGTCCTTGGTCTTTAAATGTACATTTCCTATTGGTCGACGTTTACTTGACTTGTTAAATATTGTACAAATGTTGTTTCCTATTTTATGGTACGATGTGGTTTGTTTGCTTGGTATATAAATAGAGTATGTTTGAAATACAATGATTCATAACTCCGAGGCTGTGACTTGTGTTCTTCACTCAACTGGGCTAGGACGGACAGCGAAGCAGGGCCAATCAGGCACTAGGTCGTCCGTACGTGTTTTCCGTGTCACTGTCACAGATCGCGATCGATAAATAACGCTGCGTATCTAAAACCTGCAGTCACACACGCGTTACAACAATTGGCGACGGGGATGGGATTCGAACCCACGCGGGGAAACCCCAATGGATTAGCGTTACAACAGATTAAATAACTAAACTATGCATATTCATATTCCTCTTATTATAAGCTTTATTTTAACCTATGAACTGTTATTATACGATTTTCCATTCTTGAATTATTCCCTGTCTATTAGTCACTGCCTCTCTCATTCACAGCGACATCTGGTTAATTCTTGTACAAATGTTATTTTCTATTTTATTGGTACGTTGTAGTCGGTTTGATTGGTATATAAACTCAGAATGTTTGTAATATAACGATGCATATCTCAGAGACTGAGACTTGTGTTCTGAACTCAACTGTCTGGGCTAGACAGGAAAGCAGGACCAATCATGACTCTAGGTTGTTCTCATGTGTTTTACACGTCTTTGGTCCGATTGATAATTCGCTACTGTCTAATCTACAGTCACAAACATAACAAGTTCCTTGAAGAAGTTTGGACCAGATTGCCAAATGTAACATTGAATTTACTTCAAATTCATTTGTTGAGATTTGAAAAATACATTTTTTGAAATTATACAATGATACAATATCTACCTGTCCTTGCATATTCATTATAGCAACTGTATTAGAACGACTAGCTACAACAAATTGATCTGTATTACGAGGCATTAAATGAACTGAATGAATTGATACTTCATGACCAACTAAACCAGATATTGCCTATTAAATAGAAATGAAAAGATTATTGTTATTTATCTTGATTTAATGATATAATTTGAATGTAAATGCAATAAGTGAATGAAAAATCATACTCTCTTTAAATGAACTTATCCTTCTTCTTTCACAATCACTATGAATCATTAACTTCCAGAATGATAAAACAAAGTTAAAGATTCAATATTGCCCCCCCCCCTCAACAACAAACGAATATAATGAAAAATATGTAAGCATCTATAGAATTTTTGCATGTTTCTTTTGTAACTAATCATTAGAAATTTCACTGGTTGAAATGATGAGTCAATTGAAGCTAGACTATCATGGAAAACCTGGAAGCACTGGATGGCCATTTCGTCCTAGTATGGGACTCTTCAGCAGTGGGCATCCACAATCCCGCATCCCACGACATTCGAACCTGGGACCTATCAGTCTCGCGCCAAGCGTTTAATCATTAGAAATGAGGTTTTGTAGATCCTGATTTGACTGTATACATTTAGTTCATGAATTTAAAGTGGTGACTATAAAAAATCTCTTTTGCTAGATAATAATAGAATTTTCAGGTAATAATCCATTTCTCAATACATCCCTCATGTGGTTCGTCATAGTTGGATTAGCATGTATTGAAATGCAGAAGTTCTATGGGATGTCTATTTCTAACAATCAATATCTTCGTGATAAGATCACAGACCAGAGGTGAATTACCGGTACTTCGATAAACAGTTTGATATGATTACAGAATATGATATAATGATTTAAAACTCGAATTTACTAAATCCTGAGAACTGCTTTTTTTTACTTCATTCAATCTTAAACCTTTTTACCCAAACAAAAACAGAAGGACGTGAAAAAACTTTATCCAAAAGAAACGGTAACATTTCTGTTCATATTTGATCGAAATGGTTCTTGCCAAAATAACATCTATAAGATCACCAGATAATCAAGGTATGGCCCCCAGAAGCTGAGGGTGAGGAGAGTTCGCTCTCCCTCTTCAAATGCTCTCACATAACCATGTGTATACAACGACTTCCAGAAAAGTCCTACTGGTTATATTCTCTCCGCACGGGTGCTTTTTAAAAAATTGAGAGGACGGAAAGCGAATGTCCAGCGCTTTAACGGGGTTGGTGGATATGGAGGATTCACCTAGGGGAGTTGGAAAACCTTAATTCCAAACTAATAGTCAAATCGTTGGTCACCGAATACCATGTGAATGGATCTCCTTACGTTTCTCTAATGCCTTGTGGATCAAACCTTTAGGTCGAAGGCCCGCGGTGTATCCCCTTAAGAAAACCGACCTGGGAAACCTGGTAGTATTTTGGTGTGTGCTACTTATATTGACATAAGTAGTATATGATGTTAGTCATGAACAGAAGGTTTGGGAACAGAGAGACAAGAGGATCGACCAGTAAAGAATGGAAACAGGATGCAATTGGTATGAAAATGCAAGAACAATGAAGTCTGAGTCATTTCGAGACAATTGATGGATGTTTTGCAAATTAAGCATTTACTTTATGATTGTTAGATTTTATTAACAGGTCCTGTAATTTTGTGTCAAATACATTCAATTGTCCCCAGTGGTGTTCTTGTTCACTGCAGTATCACGACCCATACATAAATCAAGTGAATTGCGTGACGCATATGTAATCGGTGCTCCTTTGTACCAATATTTATTTATTCGAATAAATAACCGAGAATCAGGTGTGAGATTAGTAACCATTGAAAATATGATTGGAAAAGACAGTGAAAAGGTCTGTACGAAGGGATATTGGAATTCACAGCCGAGAGGAAGATAAACAGTGAGTGGGTCTGTGCCATTGAAGATCATTCTGAATCATGTCATCTAAAGTCCCTAGCCATTGATGACTGTTATTGCTTGGACTCTAACCAGGTAGTATGTACCTGCCTACATGATGAAGTTTAATAGTCAATGACTTGCTTCATGAACTGATTATATATCTTAGTATGGTTGTTCCTAGCTTCTTTTCAATCTACTCGTACACCAGTCAACATCCACTGTCTAGGTAAATGATGATCAGTTAACAGAACACACTTTAAGCACATCAGTCAGTGAAGACTCGTAAACTCATCAATCGATTTTTTACTTTTGGTAAGTACTATAAACCTAACATGGAAGTTGTTCACTCAGTTGTTCCACGATCAAAATCCTCCAGTAGAACCAAACATAAAAGATGAATTATGTGATATATAGTTTTAAGGTAAAACGGAGAAGTAAATCAATGGTGAAATTTATAAAAACAAAATAAAACAAAATAATAAATAGATTTGCAACACCTTGGATGCGGCTCAGGCTAAGGTTAAGTGCTCGCGACGGGTGCGGGGTCGTGGATGCGCACTGCTGAGGAGTCCCATACTAGGACGAAACGGCCGTCCAGTGCTTCCAGGTTTTCAATGGTGGTCTAGCTTCAACTGACTCATGAGTTCAATCTGTGAAAATAGATTTGCATCTATAAAGAGAATATATACCTTAAATGTATTTGTACATTCTCCTGAACGAATTGACCATATTCGTACAGAACCATCAGCACTTCCACTTATTATATTATGTCCATCAGGTAAAAATGCTACAGAATTGACAACACCTGTATGACCAGTAAACTCTTTAATAATTTTACATGATTTCATTCCATGTATTCTGAATAATAATAATAATAATATGATTAAGCAAATAACCGTGAAATTCAATGTATAGTTAGATATTGAATCATGTTTAAGTTAACACTAACAATCTGATTAAATCACTGAGTTACATAATTTATTGAATGTTTAAAATACTATACGATAAGGAATCTCCCTTTTTCTGTCTTGTTTAGATTCGCTAATCGCCTGGTACAGCCGAGGATGGGGAAAGTCAACTTTCCCTCTTGAAATGCTCTCACATGGACAAACTCATACAACCACTGGCATGGAAGTTCTACTCATTGTCTTCTCGTGGCGAGGGTGTTGTTTACGAAATTGAGAGGACGGGTTGGTGGATATAAAGGATCCACCTAAGGGAGTTGGAAAACCCTGATTCCATACCAATGATGTACATGGGCTCCAGGATCTTAAGGGAACAAATGCGTGTGAACCATTTGTTGATCACCGGCTACCACGGAACTGTATCTCCTTACGTTGCTCCACTGTCTTATGGATTAGACCTTTAGGTCGAAAGCTCCAGGAGTGGCCTCCTAAGAAAACCACCTGATTCGGTTTGATCACCCGGGCAGTATCACAACCCACACATAAACCAAGTGACATGTGTGGCACATATGTATTTATTGCCTCTTTGTAATAATATTTATGTGCTTAAACAAATAAATAAGATTGGCTAATATCTGTTAATTTCACTATTAAGTTAAATGCCATTATAAATGACTTTTAGTCTGTCATACCACGACGCTAACACACAGTTAAATATTTTCACTAGTCTATTTTCTTGTGGAATGCGGCTAGAATATATTCAAATCCATGTGTATAAAGCAAAAGTGTGGAGCGCCTAGACTTAGTGGCTGAAGTACTGGAATTTTAAACAACAGGCTACAGAATCGAATCCTTTTAAAAAATATTCAATTTTGACCGATTAAGTAGTAGTTATCAAGAAATATTATATAGATCATTTTTGCCGAAAGTCGATTACAAAAATGAAGTAATGGTAATAATTCATGAAACTCTGCCTGGAGTCCCTCCGGGGGCTACTGCCGGTCCCAAACCAGGATAAAGGAGGAGGGTTTGGCATGGGGTTGGCGTCCCCATCCCGTAGAAAACTAACTCGCTAAAAAGACGCTAACCAGAGAAAAATTATTCAAACCTTTTAAACTCTGACCTGGGAGTCAGAAGGTCTTCATTTAGAATAGTTATGACACCTCATGATGAAAGCCGAGTTCCTTCGGAAGTCACGAGGCCGATGCACCTTCTAACAACCAGAGCAACAATTTTCATAGGTACATGGAACGTCCGAACAATGTGGGAGACCGGAAAGACCAGTCAAAACTGTACAAAACTATATGAACTGAGCGATGTATCTTAGTTATTGGTTAACGAAATACTAGTTTGTACATTGTTCACATGGGACTCGAACCCATGACCAATCAATCGCTTGATAGTTGAGTGCTTTAACTACTAAATAAATAAATGTATCAGTAAGTAAATAAAATCAATTTCGTGGATTGGTTGAATTAGAAATTAAAACCGTTGCATGACATCTCCGTGGTCTAGAGGTTAAGCGTTCGCACGCGAGACCGAAGGCCCTAGGTTCGAACCCCGCGAGCTGGATCATGGATGCGCACTGCTGAGGAGTCCTGCAATAGGACGAAACAGCCGTTCAGTGCGTCCAGGTTTTCAGTAGCGGTCTAACATCAATCGGTTCATGATCTCAATCAAAAACTTAATAACCTCCACAACCCCATATTGAAAAAAAATTCAAATTACCGAATGCTATGATCTAGACTAGCCGATAATAAGTGTGTATTATCTTTAGAGAATTGTATAGCTGTAACACCTTTATGATGTGCTTTATCTAGACGTTTCAAACATTGACCATTTTGAATACGCCAAATTTTGATTGTTCCATCTTTAGCACCAGATGCTAACATTTCAGAATCACGACTAAATGTTAAACATAGAACACTATCTTCCATCATCATAAATGTATCCTGAAGTTTAACAAAGGCAAAAAAAGAACAAAATAAAAGAAATAATTACATTAGATTTCAGTACTGGCCATATTCCATCTAAACTTGTAAGAAAATGACTACATCGAGACAATTCGTACACGATGTCAACCAGAACAGATCAAAATATCAACAATAGGATAATCAAGACCATTACAAAATTAAAATCATGATTTAATAGTTTAGGTCCAGTGCCTTAACCGGGTTGGTGGACACGTATAGTCCACCTAAGGGAGTTGGAAAACCCTCATCTCAAAGCAATGATGCACATGGGCTCCAGGATTGTCAAGGAACAAATGGCGTCACCGAACACCATGGAACTACATTTCCCAAGCTTGCTCCATTGCCCTATTAATCAAACCTTTAGGTCGAAGGCTTTGAGTGTGGCCCCCTAAGAAAATCACCTGCTTCGATTTGGGTACCCGAGGAGTATCACAGCCCAAACACAAATCAAGTGACTTGTATGGCACATATCTACTTGGTGCCCCCTCGTACTAATGTTTATGTGTTTACATAAATAAATAGAATTTAAGATATAACAATCTTTAGTACTATGTAATAAGAATATTAAAATGCAACATAAATTACTGTGAAACATTTACATGCGTAGCAACTACTTGATCATCAGTGTCTTAAGAACAATACTCGTTACACAAAGCGGTCTGCAAGAACACCTGGGCTACCTGTTCCTGACATCTAAATATGTCAACAAGTTTTCATGCTTGTTTTAACACATCATTATGTCAATTAGTTGTATAACCTATTCAGGTACATTTGTGAGAAATTTACAACCTTTCACTGTACAGGTTACCAAAGAGCCCAATCAAAGACATCATGATGACTGTCAATATACATCGAAAAGAATATAGATTATTTAGATGTTGATTCCTGAACTGCTAGCAGCTAACTGGCGACCATTCAAGATTTATTGAAGGGGTCGATCAAGAAATAAGAAAAAGAAACTTGTTGAAATACTTTGTACTGAGAATTCTATATTGTACCAAAAATATAATACTGAATAAAGCCAATAATCATAATAAGTGTATGATAAAATTATCATGCTGAGTTTAGGTATAAGTTTATACGTAGGCTGTACATCTATATAGACTTATATAGTTTTTTTAACAGTTGAGATCATGAGTCAATTGAAGCTAGACCACCATGGAAAACCTGGGAGCGCTGCTAGGACCTGGGTTCGAATCTTGCGAGGCGGGATCATGGATACGCACTGCTAAGGAGTCACAAAATAGGACGAAACGGCCGTCCAGTGCTTCCAGGATTTTCATGGTGGTCTAGTTTCAAATTGACTCATGATCTTAACTGTTAAAATTAATATAATATCCACAAAACCCCTTCTGATATTATATAGTTATTTTATGCTTATCATGCTCCCTAACATCAACGTACATCACTGTTTGTCATATAAACAAATTGAAAGAAAGCTAGAGGTAGACAAAGGAAGTCACAAGGAGGATCATCGAGTTCATTTAATGACATCTTGAGCTATGTTAAAAAGTAATAGCTCATTTACTTAACTAAAGTAGTACATTTTATTTTGACAACTCAACAACTACACTACCATATGCTACTAGGGAATCCATAACTGTACATTTTTCCCTAATCACTGATTTAAATTAATCGAATAATGTAGTTTAACTGGCATTCATTGATATTTTAATAGTTGAATCCATGAATCAATTGAAGCCAGCACACCATGGAAAACCTGGAAGCACTGGATGGCCGTTTCATCCTAGTATAGGACTCCTCAACAGTGCGCATCCACGATCCCGCCTCGCGAGATTCGAACCCAGGACCTATCAGTTTCGCGCACGAGCGCTTAACTACTAGACCACTTAGCCGGTATCTAACGGTGTCCATGGATTCAACTATTAAAATTACTATAATATTCACAAAACCCCTCTCTCTGATTTATTGATATCATACATTGGTTTTAAAAAAGTATTCAAATTACCTGAGCTTGATATTTTAGATCTTTTCTTAACTTCCCAGTTGTAAAATTCCATACTTCAATAAAGCCATCAACTGAGCCAGTCACTAAGAATTGACCATCTGGACTAAATCTGGCACATTCAACATGACACTTTTGAACTACCTACAATGCAATAATAACAAATTACCAAAGATAATGGAAAAACAAAAACCTATCACAAGACACAAGAGCAGGCAAGAACAAAGAAAGAATCATGGTCTTTAAAAGCATCTGTACAAGATTCATTGAGAGTTATTTAACAAGTTTATGATTACTTCCAAAAGTTTAAATCATCTTTTATTGAAGGGAAAAACGAATTTGAAAAGTATGGACTATCAAATTTATACCTGGATAATGACTGAGAGATCTAAGAATCTGTTTCTTGAAACTAAATGGGGAATGTACAAGAAAGAACATAATTTATATTAGAGTCAAATCACTCATCCAAGCTTGATCATCAGTATTACTGTAGTAAATGAAGACCAATTTATTGTTTAATGCGAAAACTATACATTAAATACTTCATTTGCAAATCTTCTATCAACTATCCTTTACATCCCTTATGATTCTTCTGTTTCTCAATTCCTTTATGTTTCCATTTTTGTTTTCTTCAATTTAATCTTCCTAACCTTCTTTTGACAGGCATTCAACTTCTGACTGTTGGTTACATACTATTTATACCGACAGATATAAGTAGCATACACCACATTACGTCTCAGTCAGTCAGTCAATCAGTAACGACGTAGAACTTCGTACGTACATACATCAGTTCGAGTTGCCACACCACATTACATCTCAGGTTCAGTTGGATATATCCAGATGAAATATGTTGATATTCTTTTCTGCATACTGGATAGTTTAATTGTGAAGCTTTCACTGCCCATCAAACAGAATAGAACACAAACAACTTGATCATGAGCTACAAATAAACCTTATATTCACAGATCAAGTTTAAACTTATGAGCAGTTATAAAACCGATGTAGAGTAGTGACTCAGTGGTTAAGTTGTTCGATTTTCAGCCGCTAAGTCCCAAGTTTGAACTCCATCTCATATACTAGAGTTTGGATAACCAAATAGTATCACTAACCTTTATAATCAGAGCAAGGTTCATACACAAATACCTAGTGAATAGGCTTATATATTTTAGTTTCATTACGAAAAAGAAAACAGATGCTTATGGCTTCTTCATTTCAAGTTAACCTTGAATAAACTAATTTGTCAAGATTAGTAAAGTTAAATTATTCACATTCCATATACTGCATAACATAAACTTACTCGTATAACAGTAGACAATTTAGTAGGTGGTTTTTCTTCTTCTTGTTCACGTACTGCAGCTTTACCACGAAATACATCAATTGCTGTACCAGGTGGTAATAATCCTTGATGTTGTTGCCATTTAAGCGCTTGGCTAAGTAATGCCAATAAACGTGATGGAGCTACAACACTCACTTCTTCTGATAATGAACTAGCCAATGTTTGACGACGTTTCTCTTTTGATTGACCATCTAAATAAGCCTTGAGAAAAACAATATATATATATATATTATTTTCAAAATAAATTGAATTACCTCTCTTGGATCAAAATATGATCGATTCAAAAGATTATCTATATGAGTATAACGATCAGATTGTGTACGTTTCATAGTAATCATTGGTTCAGTTTGTCGAAGTATTGATCTAGCTGCACCAATATCACGAAGTTCTATTAATTCAATGATAATCTTTTATTTAGTTAAAATACTATACAATAAATATTACCTGTTCATATAAATCCATTAATTTTTGTTCGGGTAATTTTAAATATTGTACAGTTTGTAATACAATATCCCAATGACCATTTATAATATCTGATACAAAACTTTCTATAGATTCAACAGTATTCAATGATACTCTTGTTTCTTCCTTGTAAAAAAAAAGAAAAGTATACATTAAAATTGATAACAATATTTTCAAAAAAGATAGATAGTGTGGCTAGCAGTGGAATGTAGGACAAAGAGCGTTTTGTCCTATTCAACATTCATCAGCTGGATGTAACCGCACATTCCAAAGTTGATATTCACTCCGGGAGTGACTTGAATCTAGTACTATTCGCTTCAAACATCATCGTATTATTCACTTAGCTATTGAGTCCTGATAGCCACCTGCTTGTGTAATGGGGTGAAGTTTAAATTCACTTGGTGTTGCAGTCATAAATAACAATCAGAAGATACAAGTAAAACAACACCAAGTGAATTTGATAACAATATTGTCTTATTTTTTTTTCATTTACCTGTACAGTACGTAATGTTCGTAGTAAATTACTCTCTTTTAAATATTGTTCTATTAGACGTACCACACTAGAAACAAAGAAAACCAGTTATATCATTTATAATAGAATAGTATTATTACTCAGCTGATTCAATTTCGATATCCATTACAGTAATAAATTGTGCGTAATATGAATCAGTACAATTTTAGTTCTATAAAAAAAAGAGAAAAGGGAAAGAAAAGTTAAACAGAAAAAAAATGTGTTCTTGAGTAAATTATCTAATCTAATAAGTAAACATCTATACTAGATGGTAGTTGGAGGTAGTCAACAGGAAACCTTGGACCCGGGTTTCGTGCTACTTGGCACTCGTCAGCAAGGTGTACCTGTAATCTTGAGGGAACTGGTGCTCCCTGGCGGATTCGATTTCGTGTCACCCAGCTTCACAGTCAGAGACGTTACCACTGAGCTATCTGAGCCGTGACTAACCTCCTGTAGGACTGAGATGTAATCACAATTGATTGATCACTGGGTGGTGATCAATGTCATTGCTTGTCTAGTCCTTATTAGTGCAGATCGAATGCTATCGATCATGTTGCAATGTGGCCACCAGTCTAGGTGACTCGACAGGAGGTTATTCACGGCTCGGATAGCTCAGTGGTAACGTCTCTGACTGTGAAGCTGGGTGACACGGGATGGAATCCGCCAGGGAGCACCAGTTCCCTTAAGATTACAAGTACACCTTGCTGACGAGTGCCAAGTAGCACGAAACCCAGGTCTAGGGTTTCCTATCGACTACCTCCAACCACCATCTAATCACAATATATAGTGCCCGCAGTGTCGAGTCACCTAGACTGGTGGCCACATTGCAACATGATCGATAGCATTCGATCTGCACTATTAAGGACTAGACAAGCATGAGATTGATCACCACCCAGTGATCAATCAATTGTGAAACATCTGTACTACCTACAAATGAAATATTTTAAGCTTATCAGTCAGTCAGTCAGCTACAACGTATGACCAGGCACATATATGCATCGATCCAAGTTGCCATACCTCATTAAAACAACGACTTCTTACTTTAATCAACCTACAAAATCCGTATCTTTCATTCTCTTATGTTTTAACTGACTTGTTTATTTTAATATTTAATATTTTACATGTAAACATGGAATTTTATTACATGAGAAACCTATTTTTCTGGTGTTAGTGTCTAACATCAGTCGGTTTATGATCTCAATCAAAAACTTAATAATATCCACAACCCCTATACTGATAATAAAGGCATTAGTGGGACGAAAACTGATAACACGCGTAAACACTATGGAAAAACTTGTTACTAACAAGCGTCATAAATAGTCAAGCCGAACATTTCGGCTATCTGTCTAAGATTAATAGTGTGCTATCTTGGGTACCAGATAGTTACATTTATCTAACCTTTAAAGTTAATTTCTTTAAACGCTGATCATTTCTGAAAACCCGAGCACTCATGAAAACTAACTTTGTAGAAATTAAAAGCAGACATTCTCGGAGATGCGGATAAAAACAGCTTGTGATATTAATTACCACAGAAATTGGCTATATATATATCGCATTTAGAGGAGGAACAAGGAAACCTTTTGTTAACTGGTACTTGAAGACATGATAACACCAAAATTCGAGTAAAATCTGATAAGTCTCTAGAAGATACAATAAAACGAAGGCAGCACTGGCTGAAATATAAACGTGTGGACAACATGGCGAAGAAAATCTCCGCTTAGTGGGTTTTCGAGTAGTCAGGTCATGAAAGTGAATACTACTAAGGCCTGTATGAATAAATCGTTCTCTTTATGAGTTGAATATATAAATCATCATAGTCTAGGAAATAAATTCCATGGACTAGGAGTGTTAGTGAACGAACTAAAGCCATTTATCGTAGCTGTGATCTTAACTTGGTTAATCCGTGACTTTGGTGTTACTCCAGAGTTATCGGAATAAAACCACCTAAGGAGTAGTAGGAACAGATGAAGGAATGTGGGTGGAGTCCTTATATGCATAGCTAATAATACAAACATCCGTTTCTTCGTTTGTGAATCTTATGATAGTGGAACTTGTGGAGTCATTAGTTGTGAACTCACTTTTGCAAGTTGTATATTTGTACTCTGCGTCATCTTCTGTAGCTAATCTGCCCAGCTGAGGACTTTATTTTAGAGCATATTTAACTACGGAGTAAAAATAACAGACATCTGACGTTAGGGGATGTTAATGCACTCCATACTTGTTGGACAGGGATGTATACCGTAAGATTTGAAAACTTTCAATAACATGCTCCTGATGACAGCAACGGAACATGCTTTGGTACAACATGTATCCGAACCCACACATTTCGGTTCAAACTAAGCATCTTTGTTAGATTTAGTAATTAATCATACGACTAAGGATATTGCCTATAAAAATATCCTCCCACCTTTAACAAATAGCGATCACGCTGTTTTTGTGATCCATGTGTAATTAATTAATTTATTTATTTGAACACATAAATATTGGTACAAGAGGGCACCAAATATATATGCGCCGCACCATATTTGTGTATGTGTGGGCTGTGATACTGTACGGGTGCCCAGACCGAAACAGGTGATTTTCTTAGGAGGCTACACCACGGGCCTTTGACCTAAAGGTCTGATCCACAAGGCGGTGGAGCATCGTGAGGAGATGCAGTCCCATGGTAGCCGGTGAACAACGATTGGCTCATACGCCATTTGTCCCCGCAGGATACTGGAGCCCATGTGCACCATTGGTTTGGGATCCGGTTAAAGCGTCGGACATTCACTTTTCGTCCTCTCATTTCCGTAAACAACACCCCCGTCACGAGAACGCCGTGAGTAGGACTTCCCTGGCAGAGGCTGTGTACGTGTGGCCGTGTAAGAGCATTTCGAGAGGGAGGGCGGGCCCACTCCACTCTCGGCCATACCAGGGCATTTGTGGGCGATCCATCTTTAAAGCTTATGACATTATATGATCAGGCTAAACCTCACCCCAATGTGTGAAAAAAATATCGGCCATCTAGAAAAGCACTGTAACAACGGATTGGTTATTAAATACTAGCTCATCAATCGAAGAAGCATGGTCAATATTGAAAGGTACACTGAGCTTAGTCACGTCCTTATTTATACAACACTTGGTAACACGATGGCCAAATAACTATTTACCATGGATAACTAAACAGGTCAAGAAACTTATTAGACGTTGTAAATGGAACTGGAGTGTGTATATCTTTACAGGCTCTGAAAAGTACGCATCCAACTATTGTAAGACTGGAAACGCTCGCAAAGCGTTGATAAGTAAGGCCATAAATTCAGATGAAAAACAATTGGTTAAGAGTTGTGAAAATAGTCCGAAAAGGTTTCTTTCATATATAGAGAGAACACAGAAGTGATGGAATCCCACCACTGTTGGTACAAAAAATCCGACTATATTGGCGAGAAGTGATGTCGCAAAAGCTGAAGGTTTAGAAGAGTATGACATTCACCCTGGAATTCTGAAAGCTCTGGTGGATGTAACTGCTGAACTACTGGTCGTACTGTTTTATATGGTTTTGGGGCAGTCTGAACTGCCAAGAAACTGGAAAGACGCGATCTATGAGGCGGGAAGTAGAGACTTAGTCAATAACTATCGACCCGTAAGTATAACCAGTGTTGTCGTCAAACTTATGGGGAAGATTATTCAGACGGCTCTTCTAATCTGTGCGAAAGGGAATAATTATTTATCCAGGGAACAACTTTATCTCAGAAAAGACCTTTCATGCTTGTCAAATCTAGTTGCAATAAAAGATTGAATTGCAGCGAAAGGTAGTAGTAATACGGTAGATGTAGTATTTTAGATCCAAATAAAGCCATGAAAATGTCGTTCATCGGGATCGTTGATTAAAATCAAGATTATTAAGATCCATTATGTAGTCGTAAACTGGATAAGTGGCTTTCTAAGGGTACGGGTAAATGGGGTTCTATCAACGTAAGAATTTGTAAAGAGTAGATTTCTTAAAGGTAAAATCCCGTATCATTTTTCGCTTTATGTAAATAACTTACCAACTGTAAAAAAGTCATTTGTTCTACTCTTTGCAGATGACAAAGATTTGGAGACACTTACACAGCATGTCAGATAAAATATTACAGATTGACTTAAATTCGAAGTTTCAGTAGATGTGTAGATGTTTACTAGAAGCTAACTCTAACAAGTGCGGTGATGCAAATAAATAACTGAGACCATTTATATCACTACACAATATCTGGAGTTGTGTGACCTACAGTAATAGACTACAAAGATTTAGGAGTGGCGAGACTATAATGTTTGGTCGAACCAGACAGATTTAAGATCCAGGGTCTTGGATTTCTATGCAAAATCCACTCATCAATATGGCTAAATAGCATTTTCGCATCACAGCTGGTGTCAGTTCGTGATAAAAACCCTATGAGTTAATATAAGCAACGACCTCAACACTACAAGACAGCCGCTGCTAACGGTTTCGGGATGTTCCGGGCTGTTTACAAGTCATTCCACAAATTAGACAAAATGACTGAGGGTGTTACGCACGAATTTTGTAAGGCCACATTTAGAATATGGAATCCAAGCAGCGAGTTCTTGTTTTAATTACGAAGTGAATACGCTTAAACGAGTTCAGTGGCAACGAACACAGATGATAAAAACGTCCCTCTGGACGTCCTTACGAGGGCAGACCGAGACGTCTTAATCTTTCTTATCTTACTGTAGGTAACGGGGTGCATTTAAACTAGATTACTGTAAACTAAATGATAATTTCGGTAATAATGTCTTTTCCTTCTATCTAGAACTGATCGTCTGAGAAGACATTCTAAGAAATTTCAAATGCCGAGACCAAATCGTTTAATTCTGAGGTTTTGTTTCTCGCTCCAAGTATACTCGGTAGTAGTATATACTAAAGAAGAATGAATATTATAGATTGTCTATCAAAAAGACACCAGTAGGTGAGAACCACTTAACTTTCATGAGTAAACTTTTCGAACTATAAAAGCTTAATTACTTGCGTTTGATAGTTGTGTGGACTAGATTCAAGCAAATAAGCTTCGGCTACTCCTGTGTAGCACTATAGTAGCGCAACATCCGAAACTACGCTACCAGTCTCATTCAGTATATTTTTTGGTTTTGGTCTTG